TGTGTGTGTGTGTGTGATAGAATTTAATTCGGGATTTAATGGTTAAAATACTGTATGTTTTATTAGATACAACTGTTTCCCCATAAGTCCTGATATTAAAAAAAATGAGATTATGGAGAAATGTAAGAATTGCACGAATTGTTGTTGGGATAAAGACGCCAAAGAGGGACAGATTGAGTGCTATTACGGACTGTTGGCCAAAGAGGACAACAATGAGATGCCGAGCTATAAAGTGGTGTCATCCGACATTTCTTCCACTTCCACACTTATAGTGACGGCAACACTGTCCGTGGAGAAGAACTCAATTCCTCATTATATACGACAGAATGAGACTGAACAGAGATGGGGACCACTTCTCAAACCTAACCTTGACCTCAGGGTTGAGTACATCACTCAATCGTATTTGACAATCAGTATTAAACCTAATAAAACAGGAGGTAATAAGACTGCATTTTTCATAACGACATAAATATGAAAATTTTATTTAAATCAAAATCTTAATACAAACCCTTTATAAATGCATTCATACACTTTAATATAGAGAAATATGATAGTTTCATTGATTTCCTTCCACCGACACCTAATATAACTCAAATTAGTCAATGTGATGGAAAAGTAACATTAACTTCATTGTCAAAGGACGCCAAATGCAAGGATTGCTTTATGCTAACTGTCCAGCGTAGTAGTAATGGCAAGGGTAGTAATGATATTATATTCAATACGGGAGACTTCACTCCATTCATATACAGCGAAGGACTTATTGAAATGACCACACTTTTGCCAAATGATTTTATATATGGATTGGGACAGTCACCGTCCCGGGGCTTCAAACACAATATGTCATACCCTGAAGTAAGTTCTCTCTCTCTCTCTCTCTCTCTCTCTCTCTCTCTCTCAAATTCTAACCGATAATATGGATGTGTTGATAGGATTGGGGCATATTTAGTAAATTCAACAAAAACATGACTTTGCATGAGTCGAGTTGGTTTGGATCACATCCATTATATATGGGATGGACTAATGATAACAAGGCTTATGGAGTACTTCTGGAGAATACATATCCCATGCAATTGGTCACTAATAGTCGACCGAGTCTTACGTTCAGAACAATTGGCGGACAACTCAAGTTTGTATGTATTGATCGCATTATCAATATAAAAAATCTCAAATCTCTGGTCACATAATATGAATATGATACAGCTTACTAATCTCCATAATTAATTTATATAAAACCAAAAAATCTCAAAGTAGTCAAACTTGAAATAAATTAAAGTTGTGTTTTAATCATATGTATGATGTGCTGAAAAGCACTTCTTCTTAGGCCCCACACCGAGGGATGTCTACCAACAGATAACAGATGTGGTCGGACAGCCAACTCTACCGCCATACTGGGCGCTCGGCTTTCATATGTGTCGCACAGAAACCGATGACACGAAGGGAACGAATGCTAGGTTAGGGATGGTTGATAACGAGATCCCATACGAGTCGGACTGCTATACGGCTGCCTATGCCGGACAGAACCCCAAAGACGGCGAACCATTACGCTCCATGTTACGCTCCAATAAGGAGGGCTCAAACCCCTTGAGGTCACTTCTGGTTCAGGCGCCCCATCGCAAGTACGAAGATCCAAAGCCGACCCCCACTCCCTCCCCGTCTTCCTCTCCGTTAGATAATATATGGCACCAAAATTCACTAACGAATCACAGTGACGGCACAACATATTTCGGCTACTTTTATGACTGGTTATCTACTTCTGGTATATAATTATATAACTTTTATCAATTACTTTGTTTGCAAACATATTACAAATACGGCAAATAAGCTAATACTTAATTTCTATAATTATTTTTATGTGTCAAAGAGGAGCCCTATAAGGTCATATATCCGAGCTATACGTTCACTGATACTAAATTATTAACAGAGATGACCAATGAATTCAAAACAATTGGTTTGTTTGATGAGAAAAAAGAAGACCCCATAATTGATGGCATATTTGTCGACTACAACACACCTCTGGATCTCCGATTGTCCGATACGTCTGATGTGAAGAAAATTTGTAAATCACTTCTCGATAATAACCCCTGGAATACACTTTTCTACCAACAACTCAATGAATACACGCCATGCCTTGATTTGATTTATCCCGCCACCAAAGTGTCGCATATGTCTGCACACAATCTTTATGGTCACCAACACATGAAAAAAGTTTGAATTTTATTTTGTTAAAGATATTTGAAAATTTAACACTATTTAAATGAATACATGAAATAATTGTCACTCGTATTGGTAGACTCGGGAAGCATTGCAAGGATACACAAACTATAATAATACTAAAAGACGGTCTCTGACTATGAGTTTATCCACATTTACGGGCAGTGGACAATTTGGAGGGCATATCGGCACAAACATGGTGTCCAGTTGGCCAATGCTGGTCCAAACAATATACCAGACACTGGAGTTCAATTTATATGGCATTCCACTGGCAGGCTTTCCCGTTTGTGGCTTCAAAGACCTAAGTAATCACTCAATAGTTTAGTTTCCTAAGAGTTTTACAAAAACATCTTATGATTAGGCGATACAATCGATGATGAGTTATGTATTCGTTGGTATCAATTGGCAGCAATGCAGCCCTTCATGATATCGCACCGGGATAATGGCGAGGACCTCACTGATCCCATATCACTGTTTGGGAATGATAAGAAACTAGAGGGAAAATTAGAGACAATCAAAAGTGCAATAGTTATCAGATATAGACTACTGCCATATCTCTATACACTATTCTATAAGGCGTCCAAAAGGGTCAGTCCCGATGGTAAGATGAAAGGTATGGGTGAGCCTGTAGTCCGTCCCCTTTTCTATGAGTTCGAAAATGACACCAAAACCTGGACACTCGACAAACAGTTTATGTGGGGCTCAGCCCTTATGGTGTCTCCCGTGACAGAAGCGAACGCCAAGAATGTGAAGGCATACTTCCCCAAAAGCATTTGGTATTCAATTCATAATTCAATCAAAATTATCCGAAAACTCATTTTATTTTGTATGAAATCATTGAATATAAGGTACGACTACTTAAGCGGCCGAAGAATCTCCTCGAAGGGACAAATGGAAAGCCTGTCGGCCGTCGAGAGTAATATAAATCTTCACATCAGAGGCGGATATGTTGTTCCCACGCAACGGGAGACCAATAATACAGATCAGTCGCGACGTAATCCCTTCACAATCATTGCGGCACTGAATCAGAATTTTACGGCTGAAGGGGATCTGTTCATCGATGACGGCATTACTGACAACTCGACCGTACTCATTGTCCACATTTCAGTGGTTGTCACCGAAAAGGAGAGGGACAGCCATACGAGCGGTGGTAAGACAGCCGGTGGCGCCATCAACATCACCATCACCACGGGCACCAAACCCCCTAATGTGAGCACTCAAGTGGAGATTATTAAGGTGTTCGGTGTGATCGACCCCTTGGATCCGCCAGTGTTTCAAATCAATGGCAAAGAGGAACCCGAAACGGATTTCACTTATGACTCAAATTTAGGTGTTTTGTCGCTCAAGAATCTGACGGAATTCATTGACTTATCTAAGACCAACCAGATCACCTGGACAACTAAGACTTTTGCCGAGAGGTAGGCATTATAGGACTGGCGTACAGATATAGTCTACTTACAGTTATATTGGGATGTGCTTGAGTTCAGTTGTATAAATGTGACAAAATTTATGAAAATAGTGTAGAAAATATTATTTAATAAATATAACCATATGAAATACTTTCAATATTAGTATAAATCAAATTATATACACAAAAGTCATTTAATATAATGTAAATGTCATTCAAAGGCAAATGCTTTCATTGATTGTAAATATAATTCAAAAATAAATGCAATTATTATTAAAAATGAGCACAAATTGAGACCTCAATTGACACTCGCTATATAACGTAACACTTGAGCACAGAATTTGCAAATTATTCTGACATTCCATCCGTTTTTAGTAGTATTTTGGGTTCAATTGAATCCATTGAAAGAGACTTTATTTTTTTAATGACAAAAAATGAAATATAATAAGTGTTTAAAAGTTACGGTTATATAAGTTATAAATAGAAAGTAATGACAAAAATATAAACAAATTGTCTAATAATTAGGATATCTTTGGTTTTCTTTAAATCTCTGTTTCTGTTGTCGAAACTGACGGTTGGAATGGTATTGACGGCTCTGGAGGGCAGACATAAACATTAGTATTAATTACATAATAAATATAACAAAAACACAAAAATTACTTCATATTTGGGTTGGAATTGAGGGCCAATGACAGGACCAACTCTGGGTCTGAGACCAGAGCCGTCCACTTCCCCGAAACCGGTCGCCATTTCCTCGGTTTCCAACACTTGGATGACTGCATCGACAACTCTGTTGTCAAAGTCTGACTTCTGGGCCGACGCTTTCGAGAGTGAATCGATTTGCCGAACGAAAAGTGAATGCAATTCTTGTTTCAGAAAATCAACGATTTTGACGGTCTGTGCGTTAGAGTCGAAGCGAATCCAGTCGTCGATCTGTAGGTTCGCTACGGAATCCAAATCAGCGCTGACGGCAACCGGTTGTGTCTCCTCAGCGGCTGGTCTGCCGGCAAAGAGAGCCACTGTTATAGTGCTGACAGCAGTCAAAGTCTTGGCATATGATGTGCGACCCATTAGTATCATCTCTTCATAGATATACCAATTCGTTGGCATTATTTTCCGTAATTTAGAGTAATTCCCGACAAACTTATCGGTGTTGGGGTCGGCGTTCAATTGGGACGACCCGTGAAACCGAATCTTATCCTTTTGACACCGAAATTGTCCCAATTCTTCGTCAAAGTGTATGAGCTTAGGGTAAGCGCCGGCACATAAGGCGGCCTTTATTGCCACCCAATTGCTAGCATTCCTATTATGTTCGTCGCTATTATGCCTAATAAAGCCGGCGCTCACTAACTGTCCCAAAATCTGTTGCCGAATGCCATCGATTAAAGCCATCGTATTGTTTGAGATGAGATTCTGTCGACAGAAGGCGTGGCGCCCATTGGGGGGTAACTCTAACCACCGATTAAATGCATTCAAATATATGATGTGATCACTGAATGAATTGGTTTCGCAAAACGATTTCTTAATCGATTTCAAAGACCTCTGCTTTTCGACAACCGATGGAATCATAACTAAAATAGTTTTGAAACCAGAATAAGATTTTTGTCATAATCTCACAAATAAGACATTAAAAGCATGACTCACAAGGATCTCGGTATGCAAATGAGCTGACGATTGTGAGCACCGGTTCCACACATTTCAATACAATAGAGTAGAGAAGCATTTTGCCATAATTGGGTTCAATCGGCAAATCCAATAAACGGACGCCAAGTTGTGTCAACTGTTCCGTTGAGTCCAACGCATCAATGGTCTGCTCGAAGTCAACAAATCATTAGAAAATCAACTAATAAATAGGTAATCAATAGGTCACCAATAGATTGGTACAAACCTTCAGCAGTTGTACAGACGCGCGGACACTGGCTATGGAGGGCGGGTCGATAGCAGCCGACAAGAACTCGTGGATTGACATCTCATTGTTGGGCACAAGTAGTTTGGTTTGCAGACACACTTCATGGATAGGAATTCGCAAAATTTCCGGCAATTGAAAGCGCTGTAGACTTTGGTAACGGTTTTTGCTAAACAAATGATAGCAAACTCCAGGGCGAGTACGACCTGCCCGTCCGCGCCGTTGCCTTACACTCGACTGCGATATCCAAACAGATTTAAGCGACGAAATGCCTGTAAAGACATTGAATTAAAAAGAAACTCATGAAACAAATCATAAGCTCTAATACTAACCCATCAATGAGTCGAATGACTTCTCTTTGACTTTCCCTAAGTCTATAACAAAGACCACGTCATCGATGGTAAGACTCGTTTCGGCGATATTTGTCGACAGATTTCAATACAATAGAGTAGAGAAGCATTTTGCCATAATTGGGTTCAATCGGCAAATCCAATAAACGGACGCCAAGTTGTGTCAACTGTTCCGTTGAGTCCAACGCATCAATGGTCTGCTCGAAGTCATCAAAACATTAGGAAATCAACTAATAGATGATCAATAGGTCACGAATAGATTGGTACAAACCTTTAGCAGTTGTACAGACGCGCGGACACTGGCTATGGAGGGCGGGTCGATAGCAGCCGACAAAAACTCGTGGATTGACATCTCATTGTTGGGCACAAGTAGTTTGGTTTGCAGACACACCTCATGGATAGGAATTCGCAATATTTCCGGCAATTGAAAGCGCTGTAGACTTTGGTAACGATTTTTGCTAAACAAATGATAGCAAACTCCAGGGCGAGTACGACCTGCCCGTCCTCGCCGTTGCCTTACACTCGACTGCGATATCCAAACAGATTTAAGCGACGAAATGCCTGTAAAGACATTCAATTGAAAACAAACTCATCAAACAAATCATAAGCTCTAATACTAACCCATCAATGAGTCGAATGACTTCTCTTTGACTTTCCCTAAGTCTATAACAAAGACCACGTCATCGATGGTAAGACTCGTTTCGGCGATATTTGTCGACAGAATTATTTTTCTGCAACTATTCGACAATCGATTGAATACCCGTTTTTGGTCCGACGATTGCATTTGTGAGTGAAGTATAAATATCTCGTAATAATTGGGATTAAATCGCTTCATATCTGAGAGAATGCTGTCCTTAACGGCCAGTATGTCGTCGAGTCCGGGAAGGAAGACCAGAATCGCACCGTCAGGACTGCTGTTTCGCATGATATGCGCCAAAATAGCGCAAATCAATTGGCAGTCGATGTCGTCGTCATTGAAACAGTTGTGATAAATATCTAACAATTCCTTCTCCTCTTCAGTCAATTGGTTGCCAACAGCGCCGACACTCTTATCGTCCGAAACGCTCGACAAATAACTGCCGACTTCGTTGTGACCGAAATATTGGGCCCAATCGTAGGCCGTCATGTCATTAGGCGTTCTCACAGAGACATCGGCCCCAAAACATACCAGTGCTTCCACTACTTGCAACTTATTATGACCGGAAGCACATACCAGTGCTGTCACACCTGTCTCACTGTGTTTGTGATCTATTAGAAAACTATTCTGCGAAACGAAATCCAAGAGTTTGTCAAACGCCTCGTCAGTTCCCTCAACCCACGCGCCCTTCAGAAGCAAATCAACCGCCTGTTTGAGTTGAGACTCCACTTCAGGTGCTCTCTTAGGCACCGGTGGCTCAGCGGATCCACTCTTAGCCACAGTTGTCTGTTGTTTGCGTTTTTGATTATCTAATATCTGTTTATATCTCGCCATCGGAAGAGTCATATAATTAGTGGCTTTGAGGACATCCTCTAAGAAGTATTCATCGACCGGGTGTTGACGGCCAGGGATTTCAATCACTGGACTCTCGCACTCGAAATAGTCTTCAAATTTCTTGATGTTAAACGTGGCGGACATCAGAATGAGTTTAATGTTAGCATCAGTTTTGAGAGTTTGTTTGAGAATTAACAGTAAAAAGTCACTGAAACGGTCCCTTTCGTGCACCTCATCGATGATAATATGCGTCACATTCCTCAAGAAGTCCGGTTTGTTGGACATCAATGTCCTCAGAATCACACCATTTGTGCAAAACGTCAAAAGCGTGTCATTTGAGACTCTATTCAATGAGTTATTAAAACAATTAAAATCTCGAAATCAACCAAAACTCTATCCAATCATTGAATACCTGCTCTCGAGTCGGATCTGATAGCCGACTGTTCCTCCGATTTGTTCATTCCTTTCGACACAAATCCTTTCGCAGACACTAATGGCTGCCAAACGGCGCGGTTCGCAGCAAACGATACGACAGGGCTTACCGTTGAGGGCACTGTCTTCCAGCAGATACTGCGGCACTTGAGTTGTTTTGCCACAACCCGTGTCACCGCTTATGATCACCACTCGATTGCTATCAATGGCTGACAATATCTGTTTCCTGAACCCAAATATGGGTAACTCTTGTCTGAAGTGATGGTACGTCTGGTTGGCAGTGGCCAGCAGTCGGGGCACCTGTGGTCTCACGTTTGTCAGCCGACCCGTACGGAAGAACAACCTCACAGTTGTCTCTCCTCTTAGGCTGCGATTTGTTTGCAAACTATTTGTTTGTTTCAGAAATTGTCTCAAATTGATGACCAAATGCTGCGAATTGGCGGTCAATGACAGGCTCTCCTTATTGGCC